CGGCCCCGCGGTCAGCCGAGCAGCGGCCGCCCCCGGCCCGCGTCCCTTTGCGTTCGCCTGTCCCCGCAGTCTCGTGGCGCCGCAGCCGCGTGAGACCCTCCCCGCCACGGCAGCGCACTCCCCACGCAGGGATTCCTCCCTCCAGTCTCGCACTGCTGCCCTGCCTCAACACCCCCATCGCACGGCCACGTCCCACCCCGGCGGTTTTAGTTAAACCAGAGGCTCGAGCAGAGCCTCTGCGCTGCTGGCGTGTGCTGCGCTGGTACCCCGGAAAGGTTACGTAACCGTGGGTTATTGGGTGTTACAAGCATTTAGGTTGCAAGTAGCAATTCAGCATGAGGTAACGCACGTCAGGCAAGTGCTCCTGGCAGTAGAAAGGCTGGAATACAAAAATAAAAACTGGGAGCACTCGTATGGGTGAGGAGAACAACTCCTGATGCCATGTCAGAGGTCACGAGATTCATTTTAAGTCCTTCTAAGGACTTGGAAGACTGGATTTGGCGGATCCAGTACCACAGTTGACTGGAGCTGAATAAGTCACATGCTCCTACTGTTGCACAGGGTGGGAGGACTAGGCCATGAGGCAGGACATGGGAACAGCCCTTTCTCGGTCCCATAAAACTTCACAAGCCCACAAGGAAGGCCTAGCCAGCAGAACAAGTTGGGGATGTGCAGCATGGGATCAGGAGGAGCCTGCGGGAGCACCTGGGATGGGGCAGGGGAGGTAGAGCAAGGAAAGGAGAAGGCAGAGCGGCAGACCTGCCCCAGCCCAGCACGCAGAGGAGATGAGCTGTGCTGGAACCGCAGCTTGCACCAGGACTCCTTGAGCGAGTTGCTACTGAAAACCTCTGCTCCTGGGTTATCCTGAGGACTTCAGTTTGAGAAGGGAGGGAAGTGGCAGCTGCAGATAGAGCACATGTTCGCATGCAGTAAATGCCATGGGGCGGGAAGAGCTCCTGAAGCGCCTCCAGCAAGGAGGGGACACCAAGGGGAATACAGCTTTGTGAGCTCAAAACTCATATATTAGTTATTCTGCACGTGATAAGCTGCAATTTGAAAGCTGTCTCTAACTTGAATGCCAATAATTACCTCTGCTGAACAACTCTTGTGGTGGTTGCATTTCAGAGTGCACCCGAGTTGGTCCTGTTCCTCAAATTCATGAAATGAGGGAATCTCACAGCTTTGTGCTAGCAGCGCTGGAACAAACCAGAGAACAGCCACAGCACTCCAGATCCAAGCTGAAGTTTAAACTTCTCCGACTGCATGTACTAGCAAGCATTAGCTTAACAGGGTCATGTCAGGAACATCGTGGAGATAAAGGCACGTGAGCGCTGATTTGGTAGGAATGCAACATGAGTCAGCGCTGACGCAGCCTTCCCCTCTTCAGACTTCTGTCCCACTAAGGTCCCTGCCTCCTCAGCTTCAGCTGCACAGCCAAGTGACTCAAGTAGAGTGCCCAGGCTCTGCATAGACTTCCCATAAAATGTATCGGATTAGAAATGCCCAAAATGTTATTAAAATGGAAAGACTCATTCTAGTAAATATCTCCCTGGAGCAGTTAGCTCTTCAGAAAAAGGGCAGCCCTTCCTTCACAAAGTACAGCGAGGCTTAAATATATATATATATATTTAGCTGGGACTAAGCTGCATATTTAAACCCACCTAGTACACTTCATACTGACCTGTATAAACCTTTTCTTCATGCAGCGGACCTGATGTCCCTTGAAAGGCGTTCCCTCAGTCCTTACAAGCATTAAGCAAATCGCGTATGAGGCCAGCGCTGTATCAGCCTCTGCTGGCACTTTCACAGAATAAGCAGTGTCAAGCTTGGGGGCAAGCGCCATGGAAAATCAATCAGAATTCCTCTCTGAAACTGCTCACCAGATACCTTTGCTTCACAGCCCAGACGCATAAGAAACTACTACTTCTTCTCTTCAAATCTCTGTATTTCAAAAGCTTTGAGCTAACAGACATTGAATATCAAATCAGTATTTACTCACATTTGTCCCCCCCCCCAGAACTGGAATAATAAAAAGCCCACTAAGCACAAATTAATACAAATACAAGCAGGACTTTTATCCAAGAAAGAAGCAGCCTCTGCCCAAGGTTTTTAGCCTGTATCACATGTTAATGCCATCCCACTTTTGCAGTGCAGCACCGAAGTTTAAATTCCCCAGGGCAGCACAGCATCATATATCCAACAGACCCGCTTTCATGAGTGTGGCCCTTTGAACATCTGATATGACACATGGGCTCCTGGGTTACCTCAAATCCCATCACCTCACTGGAGTACTTCAAAAAGACCCAATTCATCCCTAGGCTGGCATCATTTGGCTGGCATCTGTCTAGTCAGGCAGACTTCTCTGAGACTACCAACATCATGGAGAGCTTAAGATA